GAACGGAAACGTTTCGTGCTTTCTGGCCACTCCCACGCCTATTACTTGGAGCCATCATGACCATCGATCGGCATTAGCGTGTTGGATCAAGCTTGCGTGAGAACGAGTGGGCCCGGCATCTGTTGACAACATTTTTTGGGGTCAACAACCTTCACACGTAATATATAATTATAGTAATCCTATGTTCCATATTTATCACTTGAATTTAATATCTTCACTATTAACTCTAACTTAACACGAAGCCACATCATTTCTCAAAATGGTTAAAGACTACAATTTCCCTTCACAATCAAATTGTCTAAATTATGTCTCCGTTGATTTTTTTCTTCATTGATTACAAATCTCCTTTATTATCAATTTTTAAATTAAAATAATAACTAGGGAAATTTCATGTAGTTTGTTGGCATGTAATTATAATGTACTAACTCACAATTAAACAAAAAAAATAAAACTTCACACATGCATGCGTTTGCTCAGCTATACCTAATTATTAAAAAAAGTCAATTTTGTAACAATTCTGCAGTCTTTTAAACAATTACTTATAATTAATCCTGTTTGGTAATTAATTTATACTAGAGCAAGTATATCCTCAAAATAAAGAAATAAATATAGTTGACTTCATATCATGATCAAAAATCAGATAATAAAATCAAATATGAAGCGAATTATTTATTTATTTTCTAATTTTGAGTATCAATCCTGCGGTTGATAGGACTCTGATTTGATATGGTATTTTGCTTAATTTAATAAAAAGGTGAGGGCAGTCATCTACGATATACCTAGGACAACAACTTGCATACTATGAGTAAGGGTAGACAAAAATTACGATAATCAGACATAACTAGAACCACACCGAAATCGATCGATCAAGTCTAATTCTGCTCAAGTTCTAATCAGTTATGGGTAATTAAATCAAGGATTGACCGATTTTGATCAATACTACGTTTCTAATACCATGAACTAATATCCGATTTAAATAAAAAAAAATTACTTTATTATTATTATTTTTAATGGTGGCTGGTGCGGTGAAATGCATCAACTATTATACTTTTTCCTTATGAATTTTACCATAGCACATCAAGTTCATATTCAATTTAATATGACATTATTTATAAATTCAGACAAAATTATTCATTAAATTTCATAGATGTAATTTTATGCTAATAAGAGGCTTCAATTCCTTTCATTATTTCCAAATTAATATTTTCAGCCCCTCAATGTATAAAGAAAATATAAGTGACATTGGAGCATATGTTTAAAGAATTTATTCAAGCTAAAAGTTAAACATTTGATGAAATTTGTCATGTTTAGTTAAACTTGGAAAATGCTTCCATGTTAAATGTTTAATAAATGGATTATGAAACATTTAGGTATTAAATAATTATAGCATAAAGAACTTATATAGTTAGACAATTCATTTGATCGGCTAGTGAATTTGAGAACTTAATATAAGGAATCATATTGGATTGAAACGGAATGATTCGATTCTGGTTTGATTCCATATGGTTCCATATTTAGAGATGGAACTAATAGTTCCATTTTTAAAATAATTATTGGTACACGTTTCGATTTTCTTTAAAATCGGATTGCGCCCACTCTTAACTATGAGAACTAGTCGAATCCAAAGTACAACCTTTCATGGTCCATTAAAAATCGAAGCAAACTATAAGATTGGAAGGTACGATTACAAATGTTGAGCTTTGTTTGGAAAATTCAACAATCACTAAAAGGTAAAGAATCAAAAGTCGAATAGGTGGAAAATCAATTAGAATGTTTATTGTACTAGTCAATGTTGAACTTGCAACTATGAAATACTTTACAAGTGTTGTAAAAGTAATATTTGAATATGCGCTAATATTAATTACTTTAGAATTAATATCAGAAAGAATATATGTAATAATGAATGTTAAATTATTTATTTAATTTTTAATTAAGTAAAACTGGATGTTTATTAGCATATATGGACGTGAATAATAAAATATATTTTTAAATGTGAAATTTTAATTAACTTATAATTAGAATTAATACGAAATGTATAAATGAAGATGAATATTAATTAAATGAACGTGAATGTTAATTAATTGAGAATTAATAATAGGGAATTTATACATTAATGAAAGTAAACAAGTGGAATAAATATGTTAAATGTACATGTATATTGATGATAACTAAATGGTTAGATAAATTAAATATTTATATATTGAAAACTGAAAAGTAAGGTATTATTGAAATAATTGAATTATAGTAAGATTAAAATCGTCTAAAAAATAATTCTCATTTGATGTGATATTTAATATATTATAAATAAGTTTAAATTAATTTTTTTAGCCAAACGTATTTTCCTCGATACATTTCGTATGATCCACAACTTGTTACTTATTATTCATATATTATGCAGGACATACTATTCATAACACTTAAAAGCACTTCTAAACATGCACTTAATAAGACCTAAATTTATACCGCTCGTAATAAATAGTAAAGTTTTTCATGATGTGAAATTTTCTTCTTAATATTTTCTAAACCTAGATGATATATTTCAAGTTGAAAAATAGAATATAAACTTCTTGTACTTGACAGCTTAAATATTTTGTAAGAGATTGTTCGACATATATGTAAAATCAAAGTAAAGAAACAATGGTGTTCATATCTTTTTTTTCCTTCTTTTGTAAGAAAAAAATAAACCAATCTGCAACTAAGATGGCTTGTTGAAGATATATAATTTTTTTTGACTGTCCAACAGTCTAGACATTTAAATGGAGTAAATAAATCAGGAAAATTCTTGTGGTACATTATGAGATCCATAAAGGGATCCATAATGGACACATTCCGGCCTACAATTTGTGGGAGTGCCTGTGGGACCGGCACTCCAACCAATTGTAGGCC